CGGTATTCTTTGTTGCATAGCGTTCCTCATCGCAATATTCCTTTGCTGTTGGGTGGTGAAAAGAAGTCGACGAGACAGAACCAAGGGACAAACGTACAAAACCGGAGAGTAAGGAGTTTGTCCCTCAGCAGCCTCCACAATTCATACCTCTAAATTCTTAGGCCTCTGGAAAAGTCGAGCAACAGGAGAAACGGAGAAAGGACCATCATGTTTCCGCAAGAAAAGAAACAGCAGTTGGAGAACGAGTACGTCAGACCAAACAATACCAGCAACAACAGGAAGGTGGAGCTGTTTGCCGGGTCTAGCGATCACAGCAGCCCTTCACAGAACGAGTTCCATTACCACACTCCTCCACTTGGTATCAAGACTTCCGTGTGATAGCCGCGATGACTGCCTCAATTTTGTCCATAACCTCCTGATCGATGCATACATTTTACATACTGCCAGTCGTTCACGGCGAATAATACAAGATGTCTTGTGATCTCATGTCCTCTTTTGCCAAGTGCTTTGGTCTCGTTGATCACAATCACCTGGATCAATGACAGGATTCAGTTCTACTTGCGTGTTGTGTGTAAAATGTAGCACTTTTGCATTTACGACAACATTATACATGATTTGTGGTAAAGCAATGATTTATGGAAGCACTTTTGATATCCATTGTTATTCAGAGGCATTGAAACACACCAAAGGTTGTTTGTATATGGACGGTACAACAAACACAGTGGTCTTCCTTTGAGAAAGACTTGTCAGCTAGAACAAAACAACGAAGGAATCGGCGAGGAAGACCAAAACTGAATTACACGTTAATCTATCAGCTTGAACTGTAGTACATATCAACATTTTGTTGATCATATTTACACCATAAGCTCATTCCGTGGTATCCAACAATACTGCTAACGTTGTTCGTTGCATCTGTCGCTACAACAAGAAGGATGATTGATGTAGCCTTATTCTAAACCTCGGGGTTTCGCGTAAAAAGATTCATACGTGAGTAAACCTCTTAGAAGGTTTTTGAGATTAAAAACTTACTTGAATTAGAATTTATGATCGTCCATATATGTTGATTTTCTACTGCCGTGACTCTGCTATATAATCACAACTATATGCACTGATCATGGAGTCAGTGCAGTTATAAATGAACGTTTATTTAAGCATTCTAATCAAGAATGTAGATGCACAACAATCATAAATATATCTTGCACATATCTTCAGATTACGACATCAGCGTAAACAGTAAACACGTCTGAACGGTAGACAATAGCTTTACAGTACAATCCTAAACATTCTGACGTAGACCTGCATAAGCGTTGTAAAGTGATATCAGAGCACGTAACCGCAACGCGGTGATCTCTCGATGACATCTTACCGTTCATACTGCCACTCGGCTACTGGTACCGATAGTCTGGATCTGTCAACACCACGTTGTTGTCTTCCGGTTCATCTAGCTGTCGTGTGTAAGTGGGACCAGCTGCAAACTAAACCACAATCATTAAAAAAATAAACAAAACAAAAACACAAACCGCTTAAAAATTAATACACAGTTTTTTTAGTCTTAGATTATAGGTCAGCGAAATATCACGCAGTGAGCATAATTGACATCAGATAGTTAATCCTTGAAATACAATAAACGCTAGTTATTCCGTCAGTTTCGATAACCGCTTATCCTTTCGAGTTCAGGAGGCAATAGCCTCAGACGGCGTCTGCAACGTTTGCGATTCTGCGAAAGCGTTTAAGTCTCGACAACAGATAATCTCAGGCTGGAGCAGAATCCTTCGAGACACTTGCCCCAGACCATCTTTTTTGTCACCCAGGTCTTCGGTTCAGCAAGAAGTATCCGTTTCGTCTTCCTCTCTGGAAGCATTCACAGTAAATGGCAGTGAGGTGAAAATATCTGTAAGCACGATGGACGATGGTTCAAAGAATGAAACTCTGTCTATTACAATAAAATATAGTCGGTTTTTCATGAACCACAGCTGCATGTGCTAGTCACTGGGCAGTACAGTTCGAAAATAACTGCGGTCCGCATCCATGCACTGCGGATGCTCAAATACCATGGAGCCGTGACCTGCTTAAATGGTCCCCCTAGGTCACTAGAAGCAAGGGCACGGTGCTTACGCTGCGTCAATCCGGTATCAGAAACTGAAGAGGTTTATATACCTTTGCGGCAGTATCGATAACTAGCAGTATGCTAGTAAATCCATAAGATCGGTTAATATTTTTATGCACAGAACTGTTTCAGATTTCGAGTATCGAAATCGTCCATATGTAGATAAAAATGATACACCCCGTAAAAGCTTTCGTTAGTGATTCAGATATCAACATCCATATAAGTTAAAACTTACACAATTGTTATTAATTCAAATTTACAAGTTAGGCCACTAAGGTCAGGTTAAGACGAAAAGACAAAAAATGCTGCTAAAAACGAACTTGTTCTTTAAGACGCTTCTCCTCTGATGCTTCGTCCGATTCGGGCTTGAAGAAAAACTTACTGACGTTCAATTGTGGAATGTCGTAAACCACCGAAAGAAACAGCATCATTCCAACCAGTCCGACCATCAGATAAACTAAAGCAAAAAAATAGAATTTATAAACATGATTTAATCAGCAAACCATATGAAAGTTAAAAAAAAACATTATTATATAAGCAAAAAATAACGAATGACTGCTCCAAGAACAGATTTCACGGAGCACTGCACCACCCTTTACACTGGTTCTGGAGGAATCAATCATTGTTTGATATACTCGAGTGCACCAACAACTTAAGATGCTTATGCAGTAGCACATAGGGAGTACCGGCTTTTGAACCATCATTCTTGATGAACACAATGCGCCAGTAGCTGACA